CATCTTCCATAAGGAGAGATTCGTCAGGTTTCATAGGTATGTGATAGTCTATTGACTGTATTTCATGAATACTGCAACTCTTTGTGTATAAAGTACCCATATCTGAGTATGTCTACGATTATGGCTTCGAACATGAATCCGAAACGTCCGACGAATAGAGTTCCTTTTTTCAGTGATCACGTCCACCTCTTCTCATGGGCGGCTCTCTTGATACGTGTGTCATTAGTCTTACGTTTTGAAACCACACAAATTTCAATCATCAGCGACTATAAAGGTGTTGTTCTTCTAACTCCTTTCCTCGGACTTCGGTGATTATTCACTGCCAAATACATATAACCGAAGGACTAAGGCCAGTGGAGAGCGTAGATCCCTCATCTTTGGTGGCGGCGGAAGATCGTACATAGTCTGGACAAAAAATTTCGCTTTCGAGAGTGCTGACGACCTCGGTAATGGTGAATGAAAGTGAAGCGTTGTAGGGGTCTAAACAGTGACTGTATTCGAAACACTACAATCATCAGGCCAAATCCCAGGTTGCATGGAAAAGGCAGTAGTTACCAAAATGAGGGATTTATTGTGCATTGAAGCCTGAGTTGCGGTCTCAGGCAGCAGTAACCACTGGTGAAACCAGGGCTAGAGTTGACTGCGTCCTGCTATGCCTGAGAGAGGGTGCGAAAGCGGTGTCATTTAGTTGAAATGGCCCCCCAATGAGTGCGTTACTCTACCCGAGGGGATGCCGTGCACAGTGGTCCAAGCTACATCAGCCGAGGGCTGGCGTGTTCAGGTGACCCTTAAGCAGCCACGACTACCTGGACGCAGGTGTATGCGAAGGGATGTCAGCGGGTCAGCGATTCGGAAACCGCTCGCTGCGAGTTTGCATGACATTGAAGCGGTGAGCATTGAAGGAGGGAGTAAGACAGCGAGAGTGACTGTCCGCCACAAGGACACGCGACCATAGAACAACTTTGACCATGGCACACTGGTGCGACATAAACCTACGTTTGTGGAAACATCACCTAAGGACAAATTGCAATCCGCGGAGGAAATGGAAGCATCAATGCACGCAGTGTGATGGCAAGTAGCACCTGCCCGAATGTAGAGGATAATTGTCTCGCGAAGTTCAGCAACTGTCGACGAACCCCTTCGGATGTCGGCTCAAATTGGAAGGTCGCATAAAGCGAAAGCAATTTTTACCATGAAAACCAGCCCTACCATCCCATTGCGCAGTCTACACTCGGACGCTTTCGGTGCCAGACATGGCCCGGCAGTGCGAGGTAGTATAGGGGGTTTGAGTGCTGACAATCGTTGTCAGCTAACATTGCCGAACTTCCGGTAAGTGAATACCTTGTAGTGCATCGCCGGTACAGTGGAACCTCGGTTAATGTGTTTAGTCCGTTTGAGCACCGAGACCTTCATGTGAAACACTCGTTATGCGAAACGTAGCCAATCAAACTGCATCAATTTTACTGATTGGCCGCAGACGACGGAGGACCCACACCCTGGAAGCAAGACTCAACAGTCGAAACGGGTACCAACACGTACTGACAACTCGTTAACAACTTGTCAATCGAAACAAATTTTCTGCTAGTGACTAGCCCGTTACTCAAAATGCTCATAGATGTGGCTTATCGTCGCTCGAGGCTCCAGTGTACCTTGTAGTGCAATGTCAGTACCACCTCTGATAAGGGAAACGACTGCGCATCCGAAATGGCGAGTTAATAAACCGCTAGTTCATTAATCCCTCCCCCATCTTCACAGAAGTTAGAACGCACACGTGAATCGGCAAAAATATGACATTGAGGGAGTGAAAAACTATGGATCTGCATCGTTCTTCTAGCTAACAAACATCAGGCAGTTTAACAAAAATCTGATAACAGCAGGCAGTAGCGAATGAAGTGGCAATTAACTGGACGGAGTACCTACCCTAGACCGTGTTGAAGGAGGGCCAATAGAGATCGTGTAGGGTTGGCCGAGCGTGTGAGGTCGTCCAGTGCGATGGCTACTTCACCGCGGAGGAATGCGGCTGACGCCTCACCGGTCTTACCGAGGAGAACACGCACACAGACTTCGATGTGCGGGTCCATTGTCCTTCCGAGGCCACGAAACAGAGAGGCCAGTGTCTTCACAGCTTGCCGGGAAACCTGCGTGAAAAATTAAGTGCATCAGGTGTAGAGAGGTACATACAGTAAGGTGAACCACGGCAGCTCCGAGTCATAGCCTGACAACTAGCATCTAAACAAAGCGTCTTGTGTATGCATATCTCCGTTTTACAAAGGGCCGATCTCCTGGATCGAATGCTCATATTTAAGGCCGAAAGGACTATCTTCCCAGGTTCTTGGCATAGTTTGTAGGATGGGGAAACAGTCAGCTACCGTGGGACTTGGTTCGCACATCCTGTATGAGGGGTGGAGCCCCGCCGTCTACCGCTATTGGCGTTAGCGTTAACGTCTGCTTTCTGCTTTCTGGACGTGCGCCCATGCGATGGCTGGAGCTAGCGCATGCATAGTTAGCCAATGGTGTCTTAACCAATGGCGTGTGGAGAGTTTGGCCAATCACGTAAGGGGTTGTGCAAAGACCCTACCCTGCACGCGTGCACGGTTAGCCAATGGCGTTTGAGTAGTTTGGCCAATCACGCGTGCGTTAGTGCAGGTATGTGAAATTACGCGCGCTGGCCGCTGCTAAAAAGGGATTTTCTGGCTAAGGCGCGTGGATTTGTTCACTGCGAAGCAGATTTTCGGTGCACCACCCTGCTAGCCCTAACTAAGCGTTCGTTTGCGGACCGTCAACAAAACTACAGACTGTGTATTTTCATTCCAAAGGATTGAAAAGGCTCCATTCCGGAATGCTATGTTCTTGTAGCCAACATTAGGACATTATCTCTCGGTGAATAAAGGTTTGCAGTTGTTTGCATACGAGAAAGTATGATTGATCAAACATGTAATGTCAAGTCACCTCAACTCCAATGTCTGTAGGTATAAAACGAAATTGTTCGAAAACTAGCGAAGCGTGTCAGCCCACACTATACAATTTTATTATATTTACTGACGGTAAACACTTTGCTTTCTTCTGACCGGAGGGGTCTAATGGCGTCAGATAAAAATGACGCGTTGTTGATGGGCCGTTGACTCGTGCTTCTGAACACAAGGTTCATGGAACGCCTTCGCTAAATACAAACGTACCTGGTGAGTAGGAGGTGGTAATGTTATTATAAAGTACTAATACAAGCAGCTCAATCGCAAGGCACCTGTTGGAAACTGGCTACATATGGGTTGAATGTTGGTGTCAAAGGTCCTATTTCGCACGAGAATGGCCCGCCTTATAAGGCACTGAAAGACTGTGGTAATTCAAACAAGGAAACCGGAACAGTAGACGTTTCCGGGCCACATGATCACTATCGCACTGACCTGGAGGCAATTTCTTCCATTCAAGTTTTCCTTATCCCCCCTTCCTTGACAAATATATCTACAGTCTCTGTTGGGCCGCATAAAGTATGGATGAAACGAATGAGAAAAGGCCTTTAGCGAAAAGGAGCCTTTTACTCAGACTCCAACACCAAATGAAATCAAAATATATTCACTGCGAGACCACAAAACGCGCTGGAAGGAGGAATTCGCCCATCAGCCTGACTGTGGAGCAGCTTTCAGTCAAGGCTAACCGCGAAAAAGACACCA